AAAGCATCACTGTGTTCAAAAAAGAACTAATAAGCTTATGGAGAATATATCCATCGATGGCATTTGCCCAGATGATCAGGGAAACAATCCTAAACCTCTCACTGCCAGAAGCCAGGAGGAGAATACTGGATGGATCTCTCCAAAATTGCCCTTTACTATATACTTCCCTGGAAGTTATGGTACTGACCTAGGGTTGCCAGATAGTTTCACAAAAAATACCAAGCATGGTGGGGGAAAAAAAAAACAACCCACGGGGATCAAAGTTGTTGAGGGAAAAAAAATGCACACAAAAAAAAAACAGATTTCCAGCGCCTTTAAATCCCCACGCTCTCCGCTCCCCCACCAGACGCAGCAGGGGAAGAATGTCCAAGGCAGCCTTCCATCCAAGAAAAACAGAAAATACCAGACATTTTACATGTCTGGTATTTTCTGGTTTTTTTTAAACGGACAGAAGCTGCAAATACTGGACTGTCCAGACCAATACTGGACACCTGGCAACCCTATACTGACCACTGTCAGACACAGGATACTAGACTAAATGGACCATTCATCTGACCCAACAAGGCTGTTCCTAAGTTCTTAATACAGCTACACCACTTCATAACTTCCGAGGACCTGGCTTTATATGTACTGTATAAAGTTACACATGGGCATAAAGCTACACATGGGTGTAAGGTTTTACACGGCTCTGACCTGATTGCCTGATCCTGCACTGCTGAAATCAATTGAAAAATTTTTCATTGACTGCAATGGGAGCAGGACAGCAGCCTAAATGCCATGGTACAGATGAAGGAAGGGGACCAGTGAGTATCAAAAAACAAAAGACCAGAGCAGTTAACTGCAGAACATATTTTGTTACTTCCACATTTTGCTATTGATTTTTTTTAATGGCACACTCATTCTTGCTCTTGCTGTCACATCTATAATATTGACACTTGAGCAAGAGGAGGTCTAGGGTTTATAGACCTCCTGGAAGGAGTTCTTTTAAGGAGGGACTTAAAGGACACATTATATATATATATATATATAGCTCCTGATCCTAGACTTAGATCCATAGGCATGGACCCTAATGCCTTCACATAGCCCTCCTGAAGTCACTGAGATCCCATGCAGGTGCAAAGGACCATCAACATGCATCTCATCAGAGGATCAGGCCACAGTTTATAAAGGGCATTGGAACCCTTCTGGATGACACTGTGTTACCTGTAAATGGGTAATAATCAGTCTCAAAGACTTTAGGCATTTTAGCTTATAATAAAAACTATACACTTGATTTAGAAACATTTCATTCTCTGCCTTTTTTTAAGTCAAATTTGGCCCAAAATTTAGGTTTTCTATAAGAAAGCATTTAAATATTGTCTGATCAATCACAGGATTTTTTCAAATTCCAATGGAAGCAGGTTTTTAAAATAAGCAGTTTCTCATGGCATTTGCAAGCCAAAAGTGAAATTGACTGAACACACAATCCTGAAACTGAGTAGTATGTTTACTTTGCCCAGCCCAAGTGGATGCAAAAAGTACAACAAACAGCTGAAAGAGAGGGAACGCAAATTCTCAAATTACTTCAAATTTTAATAATCCAATGTGTTATTTGTAAGGCGTCTGGACAAACATTTTTTAGAAATATGATTAAGCGGATAGTGTTCCTAAAATTTCAATTATTCATAAACTCTGTCATTCCAAAGTCAATGCAAAATGATTAATCCTGATGACCTATTGCTGCTGCACATTGTAGGCACGAGTAGGGTGGGAATGCTAGCCTTTCAAATGAGACACACTGCTCATGTGAAGATGCATTGTATGGGCCTGATCCAAACTCCCTTAAAGTCAAACAAGAGTCTTTTCCCTCACTTCAGTTGGAGTTGGATTGGGCCCCAGGTACATTTTGTGTGTTGAATCCAGCTGGTTTCCCTGCAGTTACCTGTATCTAACAAGTTTAATTAGAATAAAAAGCATGTTTGCTCACCAACAACCCAGCATGATTCAGACATTAGTTCTGACTGTATGCAAAATTGCCGTAGGAATGTTTGATCAGATACTAGTCTTAAAGCAACAGGCTCCTTTTCGGCATGTAGTCTAATGACAAGGAGTGCTGTTCATATACCACTTTGAGCCATGGGGAACACTGATATTCTCTTTGGAGGTTTATGGTTCCAAACTTTTATGATTAACAATTTAATCCACTTTTTAAAAAGTGAATTAGAGAGAGTTTACACTTCCATAATATTACATTGACGTGGTATCTAAATTGTACCCAGAAATTATTTAAAATGTTGGGTGCATATATACACAGGTTTCAGAGGGGTAGCCATGTTAGTCTGTTTCACCAAAAACAACGAGGAGTCCTATGGCACCTTAAAGACTACCAAATTATGACAACATGGGTTCAAGCCCATGAAAGCTTATGCCCAAACAAACTGGTTAATCTTTAAGGTGCCACAGGACTCCTTGATATAAATACACAGGTTACATCACCCACTGCTGAACTGCAGCAATGAAATGTGACTGTTGTTTAATAGTTGGTATGCTGCAAAATTGCAGCACTATTCAGGAGAGGAAGAATATTTTGCAGGGGAAATTTTTAAATAGGTGGAATGTGATTGCCCATATTATAATCTGGGTGGGCAAGGCCTTCATTCTTGCAAAAAGCCTCTGATGATTTAATGGCCAGGACCTTGGGTTTAAATTTCATGTGACAGTAATCCCATAACCCAGCTTCCTTCCTTAACTATGGTACAATATTGGACTAGCAAAAAAAGAGAAGAACATTCCCTATTTACTCAGCATCCTTAATTTTTGTAGTACCTGGGGTTTCCTTAGGTTCTGCCATCCAGACAGTGATCAGACCTCTACCTGCCTGGCCTGAGAGAGCTGATGAAATAACAGGTGGTATAGTTGCACTCTTAACCTCAGGTTGGGAAGCAGCAGTCAAGCATGGGAGCACTGAAGAAGCCATAAACCAATTTCCATACAAACCTATATTAGCTAAAGAATGGAGTACAAAAAATAAGTGGAGAAAGTGGATATTTTTAAAATAATGCTTGCAAACTCTTTCCTAACATTAGAAAATTCATTTAACTGAAAAGTTGCATTGAAATCTCTCTATATACATAAAACGAGAGAGACAAGCCTGCTGTAGTCTCAGCTCGACCCCAGACATGGCTACCGAGATGGAGGTGAAAGAGGGTAGAACTGGGGCTGGCACAGCCTTGACCTGGCCCAGCCCGGCCTGATGGGGAGGCGCAGGCCAAGGTTGCCATGCCTCAGCCTGGCCCTCCCCAGTGGCCGGGGGGAGAGCTGGGGCTGCCTACCCCCAAAAAGGGGGGGGGATTGGCGAGCGTAGCAAGCAGGGGGCACAGCCCCCTACTATAACTTTAAAAAGAAACTAACATTGTTTCCAAACATAGCAAGAGTGCTCATTCATTGCCACACACACTTTGTATGGTAAGCAGGAGGGTAGAGAGTAATCACAGCCAATCCAAAGGTGTTTCCCTTTCACCATAATATTCAAATACAAAAGATGGACAAACTGATGCCAAAACTTAAACTTGAACATCATAACTCAAGCATCTTAAAGTCACAAACAGTCATCACAAATTCACACACAAAACTCAGATAACTTGGACCTGAATCTTTGCCTGCCAAATTCAAACAAATCAAATCTCTTCTTCACTAATTGAAACAGAAAACTTCATCTCAAACTCAAGCTTGGTCCATAATTCTTCTCCCATACTATGAATCAAACTTTTAGCCAACTATGAGCCCAGTTTAGACTGAGACAGCGAATGCCAGGAGACACATGATGAAGATTAGACATTCATATTCCAACATCAATCCCCAGTGCCTCAAGGAGCTTCCAATATAATGGGCTATCCCAACACTAAACCTCTTCCCTAAATCTTAATTGTCATTCAGACTGAAACTCAGAACTTTCCTAAGGACTTCTCAACCACCATCATAAATAATACAACTTTAAACCACAACTATTTGCCTACATTTCAAACAAAACCCAACCGCCCAATTCTTTATTAATTATTATTATTATTATTGGCAGGATCTAGAAGCTTCATTGAGGATCAGGTTACTAAAAATCTCTCATTACTGTTTTTTAAGCTTCTGCTGCATCCCTTAGCTTTCATATTTAACCTAGATGCAGATCCACCAATATCTCATAATAAGAAATGGGCATTTCCCATCCAGCCATAAATATGGGAGCCTTGGAAATCTTCAGGAGAAACTCCAATCTCACTGAGATTTCTAGCCAGAAGATTTTGAATAAAACTTCGGTCAGCTTTTCGTAGGGGAAAGGTCAATAAGTCCACAATAAGGAAGCTATTTCCTGGGGGGAGTTAATTGTTACCAGCTGTTGCTTATTGCTCTGTTACTATTGCCTCCTTAAATCAAGGTTGAGATTCAGAAGTGAAGGGTGTGGTGATAATATTTGCTGACCATATCTACATTGCAGGGATATCTGTAGGTCATGCACTAAACTCCCACAGTCCTGTCACAGGATGCACCGAGTTAAACTTGTAATGGATTCTCTGAAGTAAACTCTTCTTTGATCCTGGTCAGGAATCTAGAGAGGAGATATCCCAGGACAGAACTCAGTGGTTAGTATATGCTCACTAGCTAGTGGGAGGAGGGTCATTCTACAACTGAGAACCAGGAAGTGCAGCTCTGTCTGTCTGTAAGAGAAGATTGAGTTCATAATATGTACAGTCCTGTTAGATGAATAAATATCCCTTTTTGAAATAAAGACGTAGTGATAAGTCAGCAGGAGATGGGATCACCCCACTGTCGTCCCTGATTCAGTAATAGGAAGGTGGGGGGAATACATTTTGAAAAGTGTCCCCTGTCTTCTTGCCCCCCATCTCTGTCTGTGTGATTCCGGCTGACACTCACTTTCTCTGAAGTTCTCCCTTTGGTAAGCAGCTCCTTTTGATCACATTGTAACAGCCAAGACAGTGCTCAATAAATGTAAATGAGGAACAAAGCAATTTGTTTAATATGTACAAAACCTCCTCTCTTACCTGTCGGATGCCCTGCAAGGGCAGGGGGAGGGGACATGGAACGAAGAGAGAACAGGCAGAGCTAAAAGGATATGGATTACACACCATTTTGATGCACCAGTTGCGAGGGCTAGTGGTCTGTTTCAAGCAAAAAAACACCACAGGTGCCAAGTCAGGATAGGGCACATCAGGGTCTGGTGGCGAGTTGATCTCCTCCTCGTCACCCAGCTCCAGGGATGGCAGAGGCTGCTCCAATGGCGGCTGCTGCTCAGTAACTCCCAGATCCATGAGCTCCAAAGGGCAAAGGGCAGAGGTGTGAGGGGGCTGGCTGCCTGCATGCCAGGCCGAGGAGGGGTGGACGACATATTCAGCCATGCTGGCACAAAATAAGAACTCCTGGGGAGGAAAATGACAGAGGTGAAGGGAGAATTAGCAACGAAACGCACAGTGCAACTTTGTTTTTAAAGGGAATTTAGGATGGGTAACTGGCACTGGACTGACAGCCCCACATGCCAGTGGTCTCTTTTTAGGCCACATGAATTTTAAGCAGCACTCCCCCCTCTTCGGTTAATTACAGTCGAATGGTGGGAAACAGCCTTTTATCCCCAGGATAGCTGCAGCACGAGCAACGACAGTGCTACCTTCCCATACTCTCCACCAACCTGTCTCCACCCTGGGCAAGCTGCCGCTAGCTAGTCCTCACCAGGCTTGTCAGCTTCAGATATTATAGCTTCCCCTCCCCCACACCCAACTGCATCCATCTGACCAAAACCATCTTTCCCACCTGACACGCAACTGTGCAGCCCTCGCCTTTGAGTCACTAAGCAGGCTCCACCTTATGCCTCAGGCCGAATTCAAGCACTTTCTTGGCCCCATGCCACACCGCCCACGACTACACCTCAGATCTGGTGTCCTGATGCCTTTCTCCACACCCTTCTCCTCAGTCAGTGATAGCCCTTCCAGCTCCACCTCTCTCAGGTTCTCCATACCTTCTTCCAGGCTGCCATGTAGAATTAGAACCCCTTCTCTAAAGCCAACTCCCTCCTCACATTCAGATCCTCTTTGGACTCATCCACAAGATGTGAGGGGAGAAGAGAAAGGAGAAGCAATAAGGGCAACAAAGAAGGCAGCAGAACTAGCAAGACAGGCATGTGCATCACTGGATTAGAATGTGTTCTGCTTGAATTCACCCTCTCTCGCCTCTCCCCTTCTCCACCATCTGTCTGCATATCCTACCCACACACCCTGTTGTACTGTACTCAGAAGGTCCCCTCCGGGTCACAGGGACAGTGCTACCAGTTTCTGTGAGACCCTCCCCCCACCCAGCACATATGAACAACCATCCTAGGTCAGACCAATGGTCCAGCTAAACCAGTGTCCTGTCTTCTGACAGTGGCCAATGCCATGTGCCCCAGAGGGAACGAACAGAACAGCTAACCACCAAGTGATCCTTCCCCTGTCACCCAGAGTTTTGAGTGCTTGAAAACCAGCAATGACGCAAGAGTGATAAATAACCTAGGGGGGATAGGGATGTTCTAAATGCCCAGCACATTCTGCTCACAAATGCCCAGTGCATCTCTGCTCTCAAACGTTTGGACGCTATGGAGATGAGGCCCACATAGATGAAAAAAATTACTCTGGAAACTTGTATCAAGACAAGCCCTAATTTAATGATACAATTCATCTCCCTTAGACTCTAGGCTCTTCGGGACAGGGACTATTTAGGGCCTTTTTTTTTTCTCTTTGCAAGTCAGTTCCTAGAGCTCTGGGCTCAGATCCATGCTTGGGGCTAGTAGGTGTTACCATCATACAAATAATAAATGGCAATTCAATATTACAGGCTCATGGCTGTAGCACTTGGAGCATTCATATACTACAGCAATAAAAGCATTACCAAATTCATAGTAATGATGATAAACGAAAAGGAGCATGGGAAATACTGAATATTCTATGTCACAACCACACCAGAGAGGACTGTGCAGCACTTTAAAGACTAACAAGATGGTTTATTAGGTGATAACCTTTCGTGGGCCAGACCTACTTCCTCAGATCAAATTCTTTTCCAGAATTTGATCTGAGGAAGTAGGTCTGGCCCACAAAAACTCATCACCTAATAAACCATCTTGTTAGTCTTTAAAGTGCTGCACAGTCCTCTCTTTTGTTTCAGCACGATCAGACTAACACAGCTACATCTCTATTACTTCAACCACACCAGGTGAAGATGATGGAAGGACAGAGCAATAAAGAATACCGTGTTCTTTGTTAAATGCACCCTGAACCACACCAGGTGGAGATGATGGAAGGACAGAACAATAAAGAATACCGTGTTCTTTGTTAAATGCACCCTGATGCTGATGGGCATGCTTAAAGGAGGCCTCATTTTAGCAAAATAAAGGGCCGGATTTGTATATATTATTTTATCCAGCATTGGGGGTGACTTGGGCACGCGAAGGGAATTAAACACTCCACAAATTATTTTGGTATGTGAGTTTCTTATGTTTACAGTGTTAGGAAAAGTGTGTGGTCTGAAGGGTTACACTGGGAGTATAGCACATCTTTCAGCCTGTTCTACTCAGTTGTTCTTGAATATGCATGATACACATCCTGGCTTATTCCAATAAAGTAGTATTAAACCCCCCCAACCTTCGAGAAATGTCCAGTTGTCAACAGCACAGGACTTATCAGTCACCCAGATCCAAAACATGGAGTTTATCTCCTCTTAATCCTGTCTTTGCTCTAAGACTGTATGTTATCTTGGACAGACTTGCCAGTTCACTGATTTCTCTTCTTTCCTGAGCAGTTCCTTGTGCTACCAGTGCAGCTCAATCTTGACCTGCAGCACCCCCTGCTGTATCAGTCCTGGAACCCCTCTCACCCATACAGCTCTGCCCATATTCTTCAGTATTGACCTTTTGCACCCCATTATTCCAGTCCTGAGCTTTGCCTATGTGCCTCAGTGCTGTCTTATAGCACCCGGCTAGCCAAACCTTAAACCCAGCCCCTCCCTCCCACTTTGACAGTACACCCCTCAACCCCTATCCATAATACCCTCTGCTATTTCAGTCTTGGGGTCTCTTCTGAGCAGAGAATGGCAAACACAGAAGACATTCAAAGCAGACACGACATCCCCTAAGGACATAGCTAAGACCCCCTCAAATTTAATACTCAATATCCACAGACACCTGAAAAAAAATTCTGTCTCTTGCCAACCCACTGGCTTTGGGATTATTTTTAAAAATCCCAATAGCCAAAGCAGCAGAATGCTCCTCCCATTCCTCCTACATGCCCCAGGACCATGCATGCACATTTTTACTTCTACCAGTTACTTAATTCGGAATGCTCTGGTAATGCCCTTAACCCACCCCCTTTCTTTCCCCTTGTTCATTCTCTCATTGCCCACTCTGACCTGGGTTCCCCCAATAGCCCAGTAACACGCTGTGCCTCGGCTCAGCTTCCATCCCATTAACGACACAGAGGAGAAACCAGCCGGGAGGAGAGACCAGCCGGGAGGAATGACTTATTACGATGCTCAGAGTGGCTGTACTGACGAGGGCACAACAATTCCAAAATGCAGTATACGATGCCTCATAATTAACAATACAACCCAACAACGGAAGAGGGAAACAATTTCATCAGCATGCCCCTTGCATTCTCCGATTAAGTGTTCAGGGTTTCTCTGCCGTCCCAGCATCACCAGACACAATCAGGGTATGATGTGAAGAAGCCTGAAGCTCTGGGAAACAGTTCTCCCTATTGCACTTAGGCAGACAAACAGCCCATGCCTCAGAATGATGGCTAACAGGGGTAAGATGTGGTCTGGCAATTCACTGCAGATTCAGCAAAAGCCAGGGGAATAGCTGCATCATGAGCGGATTATCTGCTCCAATTTGTGCAGCCTGGAATGACTCATTAGAGGTGATATGGATGCAGCAACAGATTAGCCCTTTCGGGAGCTTGGAAGCTAAATGCATTCCTTATCTGACAGCTGCCCTGCTGGAGGTCCTAGGAACACCTCTCCCTTGTTCAGATAAAATCCTTTCCTTCCGCCCCAGCCACCCCTAGGGCTGTGATCACAGCACATTTCACATGTTAAGCAGGGTCAGGCTTAGCACACTTTATAGAGAGACTGACGAGAGAAACTGAAACTTCAGAGGGGTAGCTGAGTTAGTCTGTAATAGGAAAAACTTAAAAAAACAACAAATAGTCTACTCTAGTAGCCCCTTAAAGACTAACAAAACATGCAGATGGTATGATAAGTTTTCATGGGCACAGCCCACTTCTTCAGAGAAACTAAAGTGGTGCAAGTGAGACGGGAAGTTAGGCTTTTACCCTGAGCTGATTCTGATACTCTAGCATCATGCGGGAAGAAGGGCTCTATTGCTGCAAATAGCTTTTGGATGAACCCATGGTCATGGTGACCACTTTTGTTTTGGTGTGATTTGAGGTAAATTGACAGATGTCAGCAAATGTCAATTTCAGCCGATAAGAAAATTGACAACCATATCGATTGGTAACAGTCGGTGGGAGTCCAGCCCCACCTCATCCCCTGCCTCCTTTGTGCCTGCAGGGATCAGCTGTCATCTGGACATGTTGAAAATAAGCCAGCTGCTGCACCCCCTGGCTTGAAATGGCTTCATTCTATCCAGGGTTTACAGTTTGGTTCAATGGCACTCACACCCCCATTGTACAACTTGTTCCAGCCCCCCAGTGTCACCAGCCCTGCAGCAGTGCCCAGAGCCCTCTGCAGCCCTTCCGCCATGGGACTGAGGGAGACCATCCCTGTGCCGAATGGCTGCTTCCTCCAGCAAGACCTGTTCACCAGCATCCCATGGCCAGACACTTGTCCTCCTCCCTGCTGTCCTAGCCAGGGTCTCTGCTCCATCGGTCTAGAACCACTGCCTCCACCACACTTTATGCCAGAGTGGCTTGGGCCCCTCAGCCATGCAGGGAACCCCCTGCATCTTTGGTGTCAGTGCTGCGAGCCCCCTGAAGTCCTGCTGTCAGTACTATCCTAACCCTAACTCCAACCCTATCTCCTCCCACTCAGCATTGCCAGCATCTGTGCAAATAAAAATGGTTAAAATAAAAAAAATTACACATTGATATTAACCACCTCAATTAAACCCCAATACAAGCAATATTCTGCCAAGACAAGCGGTGGTGCTTAGGCTTTCATGGCCCTTTTTGCAGCAGCCAGCGTGTCATCCCCAGTGTCCAGAACAAATTTCAGCTCAGGTTAGGTGAAGTTTTACCTTCTCAAAAGTGCCCCTGCAGCTCTCATTTTCTCTTTATGACACCACTGGCTAGTGTGGCTGGGCAGACTGATCTAATGCATTTCAGCCCAGAAGTGGTCACATTTCAGCAATAGGAAGGCACTCTGTATGTATGTGTATACA